AGATCTAACAACTATAGATGTGACCAACATAGATCTAACAAATACAGATGTGACCAACATAGATCTAACAAATATAGATGTGACCAACATAGATCTAACAACTATAGATGTGACCAACATAGATCTAACAACTATAGATGTGACCATCATAGATCTAACAACTATAGATGTGACCAACATAGATCTAACAACTATAGATGTGACCAACATAGATCTAACAAATACAGATGTGACCAACATAGATCTAACAAATATAGATGTGACCAACATAGATCTAACAACTATAGATGTGACCAACATAGATCTAACAACTATAGTAGGACCATCATAGATCTAACAACTATAGATGTGACCATCATAGATCTAACAACTATAGATGTGACCAACATAGATCTAACAAATACAGATGTGACCAACATAGATCTAACAAATATAGATGTGACCAACATAGATCTAACAACTATAGATGTGACCAACATAGATCTAACAACTATAGATGTGACCATCATAGATCTAACAACTATAGATGTGACCAACATAGATCTAACAACTATAGATGTGACCATCATAGATCTAACAACTATAGATGTGACCAACATAGATCTAACAACTATAGATGTGACCGACATAGATCTAACAACTATAGATGTGACCATCATAGATCTAACAACTATAGATGTGACCAACATAGATCTAACAACTATAGATGTGACCAACATAGATCTAACAAATACAGATGTGACCAACATAGATCTAACAAATACAGATGTGACCAACATAGATCTAACAACTATAGATGTGACCATCATAGATCTAACAACTATAGATGTGACCAACATAGATCTAACAACTATAGATGTGACCATCATAGATCTAACAACTATAGATGTGACCAACATAGATCTAACAAATACAGATGTGACCAACATAGATCTAACAAATACAGATGTGACCAACATAGATCTAACAACTATAGATGTGACCAACATAGATCTAACAAATACAGATGTGACCAACATAGATCTAACAACTATAGATGTGACCAACATAGATCTAACAACTATAGATGTGACCATCATAGATCTAACAACTATAGATGTGACCATCATAGATCTAACAACTATAGAGATGTGACCAACATAGATCTAACAACTATAGATGACCAACATAGATCTAACAACTATAGATGTGACCATCATAGATCTAACAACTATAGATGTGACCAACATAGATCTAACAAATACAGATGTGACCAAATAGATCTAACAACTATAGATGTGACCAATAGATCTAACAACTATAGATGTGACCATCATAGATCTAACAACTATAGATGTGACCAACATAGATCTAACAAATACAGATGTGACCAACATAGATCTAACAACTATAGATGTGACCAACATAGATCTAACAACTATAGATGTGACCAACATAGATCTAACAAATATAGATGTGACCAACATAGATCTAACAAATACAGATCTCACCACCATAGATATGATCAGCATAGATCACATCTTTGGTCTCCTCCAGGAGCCTCTTCCAGCATCTAGCAGTGGTTTTCTAGCCGGTGTCCAGATCTGCTCTGGATCAGGCTGACCTCATCCTGACCTTTTATGGTCAAACAGGAAGTGAGCCGAGGTGAGGCTCCGCAGACTCACCTGACGCTGCCGCCGTCCGGTCCGGTTCAGTTCGGCTCTGGTTCTGATCCGCAGAGCTTCTCTTGTCACACAGACAGCCCAACTTCTGGCCAATCACAGCGCGGCTGCAGCCGCTTTCCTCATCTGATTGGTCAGCAGCATCAGAAGGAGAGGAGGGAGGGGGAGGAGCTGCCACGTCCTCAAAGAAGAAACAGACAGAACCCATCAGGGTTCGGTACTGATCCAAAACCGTCTGAGGTTCAGCAGCGGGTCAGATGGGTTTCAGTGGTACCATCAGGGTTCTGGTTCGGATTTGTTGGGTCTTGTGGTTCTGCGGAAACCAGCTGCTGTTCTGGGTTCATCTGGGCCGATCGGTTCCTACAGGCCCATATTACCAGAACCTTCTGCTAGAACTCTGAACTGAAGCGGGTTCTGGACTGGGCCAAAAAGATTCTGGATGGACCTCTGTCCAGCAGGTCAAAGGTCATGCTGTGGGTGCCGTGATGTCACTCAACGTGTTAAAGCTCCAGAAGAACTTCAACAGATCAGAACCAGTCAGGTTCTGATCAGGTCCTGATTAACTATCTGAGGCGATCCAGAACCTTTTGCAGAACATGAAGGACTTAAAGTCCAGATCAGAACCGGATCAGATGAAATCAAATGTTTCAGAATCAAACGGTTCTGTTCATCTCAGGTTGTTTCTGATCTGATAACAGAAACTAATTTCTGCCTCACTTGGTTCTGATTCTGGTAATACCGGGTCAGCAGTCCAAATGGTTCCGACTGGACCAGATCCTGAAATATAAATAGGATGAGTTAGAGCTTCATGGGCTGAAACAGAATCGTTTATCTGCTCTTGATAAACATGGACCAAAGCAGAACTGGTTCTGATCCATTCTGCTGGTTCTGACCCAGACAGAAGGTCCATTTTTCATCCAGTTCTGATCTCCGTGGTTCTGACCTGGTATAATGAGATATTGGTTTTCTAGTTTTCCACCAAACTAGCGTCTTTGAGCGCAGTGAGAAACGTTTAGGATAAAATCACCAGACTCGCAGCAAAACTCAGATGACCCAGCTTTCTACGAGCATGTAAACGCACCAGCTCCAGCTCCGGAATGCAGTTTTGTGTGTATCTGGTGACTTGTGCGCACTTTTCAACGTTTTGGGCGAAGGAGGTTTATTTTATTTGAAAGTTTATAAATCCAGTATTACACACGCAAAGATGTGTTAAGACTGTTTTCATTCCATAGAATTTGGACCTGGAACAATCTGCACGGGTTTCAGGTTCTGAACCGATTGAAGGAAAATATTTGTTTCAGGAGCAACTCTGATAAAAACTGATTTATAAACCTGGAGGCAAAAGGTTCTGGGTTTTGGTTCTGACTAAGATCCATAATTTAGCTCGTTAACCTGTTTAGATGCTATGCTGGTTCTGATCAGATGGAACAAGAATCCTGGTTCTGATCAGAACCAGGATCCTGGATCCAGGATCTGATCAGAACCAGGATCTGGTTTGGGCTCTGTGGAGTCTCTCCACAGGGGTTCCCTTAGTTTTCTGAGCTCTAACTGCAGGAACTTTTCGCGGAGAGGTTTTCCCTCCACAGAACTTTGGTTCTGATCGGGTCGGTTTCCTCTAGAACCTGAGGACAGACTGTGAGACTCGGAACCTGAAGGAAAACATCGCAGCTCTGCCAGTCATTGGACTGTTTCGTTTTTGAACGGACCATTGAGCAGCAGGCAGTCCGGCGGTGTTTCTGGTCCGGGTGGAAACATCAGTGGTGTGTTTCAATCAGATGCGAGTGGCAGCAAAGGCAGATGGTTCTGTGCTGATCAGGTGAGGAAGCAGGTGAGTTCTGAACGGAACCATGAGGTCAGAACCTTTTTATAGCCATTACCTCAAGAGGGTTACTGAAGCTCAAACGGACTTCACGTTGTTAGCTTTACGCTAAACTGGTAGCGAGCTTTTATTCTCTAAGTGTAGTAAATCCTTCGGTTCGGTTCGGTACGCTGGGCTGTTCTGTAGAGGTCAGGTCCGGTCCTCTGAGTCGAAGCAGAGTCTCGGTTCGGCTGTAACGCGCTGCGAGAGGTCAATTACAACACAGCAGGACTGTTGGATGGCCGCCGGGTGGCGCAGAGCAGCGCTCGCCATGGTCGCCATGTTGGTCGGGTCAAGCGCCTGCCGCTCCTAAACTGAAATAAACCCCAACCCTGTATGGATTTAAATTTATAAATCTGTATTTTAATCTAATTCCATTTCTTCCACTACACCAGCACAGGCTGATGTCAATGCCTGCTGTTGTTTCTGCCGCATTTACACGGAAACTAATCAGTGACCTGCAGCCTGATGGCTGCATGTTCTGTTAATGTTCTCCCAGAGAACGAGAGAAAAACATGAGAAATATTCATATTTTCTCTAATGTTGTTCACATTCTCATTCTTTTCATATTGTACTTTCCCCTCATTTTCTATCATTCTCCAGCAGGGAACCGTCGGCCATGTTGGGAGTGAGGCGCATCCTCCGTGGAGGCGGTGGCGTCCTGCTGTGTCTCCATCGGACGGCCCAGTACCTGTATCCCAGTGGACCTGAGCGGGTTCTGGCCCGGTCCCTGTCCCGGACTCCGTACTCGTCCCGGGCCGCGCTGAAGCTGCGGACCCGGTTGGGGGTGACGGTGCTGGTCGGGGCTGGTTTCCTCGGCGCGTGGTGGTGGGTGGAGCAGGAGAAGCAGCAGCTGCGGCGGCGGCAGCGGGTGGAGCAGCTCCGGACGGTGGCTCTGGGTCAGGGGACGTTCAGCCTGGTGGATCATACGGGCCGCCGCCGGACCAAGCAGGACTTCCTGGGCCGCTGGGTCCTCCTTTACTTCGGTTTCACACACTGCCCCGATATCTGCCCCGACGAGCTAGACAAGCTGAGCGCCGTGGTGTCGGCGCTGGACCGGGACCCGGACCTGCCGCGCCTGCAGCCGCTCTTCATCACCGTAGACCCGGAGCGGGACGACGTGTCGGCGCTGGCCCGCTACGTCCGGGACTTCCACCCGCGGCTGGTGGGGCTAACCGGCACGCCGGAAGAGGTGCAGCACGCGGGGCGGGACTTCCGGGTGTACGCCAGCGCGGGGCCGAAGGACGAGGACGGAGACTACATCGTGGACCACAGCGTGCTGCTGTACCTGGTTAGTCCGGACGGGCTCTTTCTGGACTATTACAACCGAACCAAGAGCCCGGAGCAGGTCGCCGACAGCATCCGGAACCACATCCGGAACCACGTCCCGCTGTAGGACCGTCTCCATGCAAACCAGCGGCTCTTCAGCAGGAAGGGACACGATCAGATTATTTGAGAATCAGGTTCAATAAAACTACTTTCTGCCAAAAGTGTGAATATTTTATTTCATTAGGGAGAAACAGGAGCCGGTCCAGCTGGCCCTTCAGAACCGGGCCCATCAGAACCGGGCCCATCAGCTGGAGTCCGCCAGCGTCTTGAAGCGGTCCGCGGCTCGCTGCGTGCTCAGCAGCGTCAGACACATGGAGTCCACGCTGTCCTCCAGGCCCGCAGCACTGTCCACCTCCACCGAGTAGTCGTTGGCCTGCAGGCGACACAGCCAGGGTTAAAGGTCAACTCATAACCACAGCAAAGTGGGGGACTAAAACATAATGAATCAAAATCTGAACAGGAGCAAAGAATCAAAGATGAAACATCTTGATGTGACCTCTGACCTGCCACTGTTAACAAAACCTGTTGCTATGACAACATTATTTCTGTTTCCAACAGGATAAAGTAAAATTTACATTTTGAGTCTGAACAATAAATCAGATGATTTATTGTATGTAATGTACAGAACCCGGCTCTGGTTCTGGTTCTGGTTCTGGTGGGTTTCCTTACAAACCTGTTAATCTGCTTTGAATAATGAATTGAGCTGAACGACAACCAGATGGGGGAGCAGGAGGAAGAGGAGCAGCAGGAGGAAGAGGAGCAGGAGGAAGAGGAGCAGGAGGAAGAGGAGCAGCAGGAGGAAGAGGAGCAGGAGGAAGAGGAGCAGGAGGAAGAGGAGCAGGAGGAGGAAGAGGAGCAGGAGGAGGAAGAGGAGCAGGAGGAAGAGGAGCAGGAGAGGAAGAGGAGCAGGAGGAAGAGGAGCAGGAGGAGGAAGAGGAGCAGCAGGAGGAAGAGGAGCAGCAGGAGGAAGAGGAGCAGCAGGAGGAAGAGCAGCAGGAGGAAGAGGAGCAGCAGGAGGAAGAGGAGGAGCAGGAGGAAGAGGAGCAGCAGGAGGAAGAGGAGGAGCAGGAGGAAGAGGAGCAGCAGGAGGAAGAGGAGCAGCAGGAGGAAGAGGAGGAGCAGGAGGAAGAGGAGCAGCAGGAGGAAGAGGAGCAGCAGGAGGAAGAGGAGCAGGAGGAAGAGGAGCAGCAGGAGGAAGAGGAGCAGCAGGAGGAAGAGGAGCAGCAGGAGGAAGAGGAGCAGGAGGAAGAGGAGCAGCAGGAGGAAGAGGAGGAGCAGGAGGAAGAGGAGCAGCAGGAGGAAGAGGAGCAGCAGGAGGAAGAGGAGGAGCAGGAGGAAGAGGAGCAGGAGGAAGAGGAGCAGCAGGAGGAAGAGGAGCAGCAGGAGGAAGAGGAGGAGCAGGAGGAAGAGGAGCAGCAGGAGGAAGAGGAGCAGCAGGAGGAAGAGGAGCAGCAGGAGGAAGAGGAGCAGGAGGAGGAAGAGGAGCAGGAGGAAGAGGAGCAGCAGGAGGAAGAGGAGCAGGTTTACCAGCTGCAGTGACGCCAGCAGCAGCTTGCAGGCCTCCATGTTGTCCAAACCGCGGACGATGGAGGCGAAGGAGCGCCTGCAGCCGACGGCGCCCAGCTGGGCGACGATCCGCTCTCCATAGGCGTGGATGTCGAACGGAGGTCGGTCCTCCTGGAAAACAGAGCGGTGAGCGGCGGCCCGGAAGCGGGCCGGAACCGGGCCGGAACCGGGAGCATCCCGGTCTCACCTGCAGCGCCAGCTCAGGGCGGATCTTGTCCTCCCAGTCCCTGACCCGGCGGGACAGAGCCGATTCCTGGGTGTAGCCCTGGCTGTGCACCACCAGCTGCTCCTGAACGCACCACACAGAGCGTCAGGCGGTCCGGGTCAGGCGGTCCGGTCCGGGTCTTACGAGTCACTTACCACACGCAGCTTCACCAGCTCTTCATATGTCGGGTCGCGCTGAGCTTCTGCTGGAGGACAAGAACACGAACCTGACGACCTCCAGTCCACTACAGCTCTACTGAAGGTCGCCTGGAGGTCACGTACCTGGGGTCGGAGTCCGGTTCTCTGAACACGGCAGGAAGGCCGTCCAGCTCACCGTCCGAGTCGTCTGAGTCTCCGCCTGTTGGAGGACGAAGCAGAGGGATGAACCTGCTGCTGGGTCTGGGGTCAGAGGTCACTGGTCAGCTACTGCTAACGGCTCAGACGACCTCATTGAACGCAGCAGAGAACTGGATCAGAACCGGAGATACTGACCCAGGAGCTCAGCAGGTGTGATGTCATCCACTGGCCCCGCCTCCTCCAGCTGCAGAAAGGTTCTTCGGAGCTCCTCCTCTGTCATGACGACGCCCTTTGACACCAGACAGTTACTCAGCAACAGGAAGTACAGTCAAGAACTTCCTGTTAATTCACCGACTTATTGATGCATTTTTTTCCTTTACAAGAAAAGCTCACACCGATTAGAAACTGGAAACCAGTGGAGAGTGACCAGGGGCCTGCCGCACTAAACAGTTTGCAGTTTTCACACTGAGACTTGACGAAGGAGAAATTTCTACCATCAGACCTGAAAGGAAGCAGAGCAGAACCGGTACCAGTACCAGTACCTGCTTCAAGTTCTGCTCAGAACCACAGGATGATCAGTCTGGATCAATCTAAACGCCAATAAACCAGCAGATCAATACGATCTCTGATCAATGGCTCCACAGATCCTCAGGTAGCAGCTCATATAGGCAGCTATTGATATACCTGAGATTATCGATCAGCTTCAGTAATCAAAGCTATCGATCAGCCCTGGTTTCTCTTGAATAAATGATTCATAGATTCATTCAGACGAATCGTTTAGTCTTTATTTCCATGTTGTGATGTTTTCACATCTTTATTTGATTGTCTTTATTTTGTGTTGGCTTATTGTCTGAGGATAAATCGGTTCAGTTTCATCGTTTAAACTCTCAAATATCAAAGTTCAGATAGTTTCTGTGGCTGCAGGTCAAAAGTTATCAAGCCACTTTTTCACCGCACCTTCATTTTCATCCATGCTGTTCTGCGTGAAATATGGCGCCGCTTTATAAACGAGGCCCAGAACCGGTCCATTCAGACAAACCTCGTTTCTCGTCCAGCAGAACTGCTTCCTGCTGGACAGGAAACAGTTGGACAGACAGGAAGTAGCCGGCGGTCCATCTGCTGGACTCACCAGCGTCCTGTAGAGCGTCCTCTGTCTCCGGACTTTGTCCCTCAGGGTCCTCAGGTAGAGGTAGTTGAGGTCTGAAAAATCACAGAGCGTCAACCAAGCATGGTGGTTCTGGTTCTGACCCAGACCCGTCAGGCAGTCCCGGCGCACCTGGAAAGCTGGGTCCGACCTTCAGCTTGGGTTCTGGGGCTGGACTGCAACAGAAAGACGGGTCAGTCAGCAGAACATACAGGGAGGACCGGCCGGTCGCAGAAACTCACAGGCTCCTCGGAACCAGGACCGGAAGTCCTGGAGAACCGACCGCTTCCTCTTCCTCTTCCCCCCGTCATCCAGACCGTCAGGAACCCGGTAGCACCGCCCTGAGGAAGAGGAGGAAGAGGTATCAGAAGTCATGCTTAGGCGACGAAGCATCAGAACTGGGTCGGTCCGGGAATCACCTGGTGTGAGGGGCCGGTCTCCTCCAGGGCGGTGTACGGGTCATGGGGGTCCAGTTGCTCACCTGGAACACCTGAGAGTCAGCCTGAGGAAGAGGAGCGGCGTGATGAAGGTGAAATGGCTCTTACAGCAGCTGGAGGCTCTCCTCTTCCTCCTGCCGCCCGCCACGCCCCCCCCATCCAGAACCATGCAGAACCCGTCTTCAGGAGGCCGTCCGACCGAGACCTGTTTGCCGACGATGTGCTCCTCCTGGTCCGGTTCCAGGTCCATTCCTCTGCACAGGAAGGAAGCCCTCTGCAGCTTCATCGGGGTCAAAGGTCACCGCAGATTCAGCTGCAGGAGGGAACAGAAGGTCAGGTCATCTCTGACCAGCAGGGGGAGCCGGCGCAGAGCAGCAGCCTACCTGCAGCCGACTGGTCCACCAGGAACCTGGAGGCTGGAGCTGATTGGAGCATCAGAACGATGAGGTCATCAGGTCCCGGAAGGAACAGGTTGACCCGGAAGTCTTTTGGCTGCACAGCACCTCCCCCCCGATGCTGGGAGGCGGAGGCAGGGGGACATGAGACACAGCCGAGGGCAAGGGGACAGGAGACATGAGGCGGGGAAAACCTGATGAGAGGCAGCTTGTTCTTCTCCTGAGTCTCAGGAGGAATCAGGGCCTCTGGAGGCAGAGGAACCACACTGATGTCCTGCAGGGGACAAGAAACACACTGAGGACAGCAGACACGGCGAGGATAGGAGACACGCAGAGGACAGGACACTCACCGTGTGAGACTCCGTCCGAAGGGGTGTGGCTGACTCGTCCAGCTCCAGAGGAGTGAACTACAGCAGAGAGAAGCACTGCCTACATTACCCAGAATGCTCAGCACCCTGTCACAGCTAGCTTCTTGTTCTCACCACAGCCAGATCCTCAGCTTCCTGCTCTGTCTGGTCTGCTGCTGCCCCCTGCTGGGCCACCCCCCTCCCGGCTGCGCCTGGAGAGACACCAGAACCAGAACTAGAACCAGAACCAAGGTGCCTCCAGAACCAGAACCCGACCTTCTGGACCCTCAGGCTGCCCTGCTCACTTCTTGTTGTCGCTGATGAACTCCAGAGTCTGGAACACCAGGCTGTGGAGCAGCTCCACCTGCAACAGCAGACAGGAAGCCGTGACTCCACATGACCCCGCCCATGCAATGACGTCACGCTGAACACGCCCCTCCCACCTTTTTGCTGTAGATGCAGGTGGAGCCCTGGATGAGCAGCGCAGCTTCAGCAAAATTCAGCCTTGTTCTCCCTCCATCAAAGGTGATGCACATTTCATCCAGCTGCAGCCAGGTACAGAGGTGGACAGAGGTCAAAGGCCATAGAGACCACGTGAGATTTCTACGTGACAGGAAGCTCACCTCCTCCAGGTAGTCGTTAAGCTCCGACGCCACATCGATCTCCCAGTTCTTGGTGAGCTCTCTGATTGGCTGCAGCAGGTGGGCGTACCTGCTCTCTGTGGACTCCATGACAACTGGAGGGACGGACAGGTGAGACGGCATTCTGGGCCAGAACCAAGAACCTAAGACCATTTGGGTCGTCGCTAAAGCCAATGAACCGGTTAAACCAAAAGTTCTCTATAACTGAGCAGAACCAACATGGATCCACATCCGGAACCAGAACAACCAATGAACCTCTATGGAGCGGTTTTGAACGGGTAAACAGCTGGATCTGGATCCAAAGAAGCTGGTCTGATCAGGAGGACTAATAATATGCAATAGAGGTCGGAACCACTCCAGAACCCGGACGAAGCTGAAGTTGGTTCCAATTCGAGAAATGGCTAAAGGGCGATTCCACCTAATTATTCTCTACTTTCCGCACCTTTAAACAACTCTAGTAAAAACTGCAACCAAGTCAACCTGGACTGGATTATTCTGCTCTAGGAGCAGATTATTTAAATCCATGTTCGGATTTGTGAAACTTCAATAAAGTTCGGATTACTATTCACACTTGTTCCAAACTCAGTTCTAATTCAAAACCACTTCATTAATCCCAAAGGGAAATGAAATGTTGGAAGAAATGTCTTTAATTCTTCAGAGTTAGCAGCTGCTGATGTCCTGCTGCTACTGGAGCAGAATAATCCTCGATCAGAATAATCCAGTCCAGGTTGATCTCGGTGTTGCAGTTTTTACTAGAGTTGGTTCCGTTTATTATTCATAGCATTGATTTAAACTTGAATAAAATGTTGAAAATTAAAAACCTAGCTGAACCAATCCCAGGCCGAACACATTCGACAACCCGACCGACAACAACCACAGCGTCTATGGTCCTCGGTCCGGTTCGGTTCGCCCAAAGTGAAACTGAAAATCCAAAAGCTGACAAAATATAAACGGAGTCTGGCTAGGCATCAGACTGCACAGCTGGAAACAGGTCACTTTACCAATGTGATGACGTTAACTCGTTTCAACGTCATTAACGGCACCAACATGCTTCAATTAACTCATGATAAACGGAATATTTCAGATTATTTTACTCAAATGAGACTCACCGATCAGATCGAAGCTCACTGTCAATCAACCAACACTCAAACAACCCGCGCTTAATTTTTTTCTTCTATGGTTTATAGCGCTATTACTCAACGCGCTGCCACCTGCAGGTGAACCACTGCATTACTTACAAAAACAAACAAGGGCTCCTTTGTCAGTAACGCTGTTGCCAGTAAAATATTTTATACAAAACTATTTGTTTGATTTCCCATTTTAAGTTTCAGACTGTCTTGAAAAAATTAAAACACCTAAGAAAAGTCTTAATCTGTTTTAATTTTTATTAAATATATTTAATGAATCACGGGTAAGGTGATTATTGGTTCCTGAAGCTTCTCTGTGCTGTTCGGTTTGTCTTGGACTAAAGGGCAGCAGAAACAGCTCTTCACTGAATAATTAAAATGGTAAACAATGTGGAGGGAAAACTATGAGAAAGATATTAAATCAGAAAAACTAGATGTGATGTGGCTTTGTGGCCACAGGATGGCAGCATTTTGTCAGAAAGCCTCAGAAAGACAGGAAGTAGTTTTTACATTACGGGTCTGGAAATAAGATAATAAATTGTTTATATTTCGTTTGGAGCCAGTTTTACTATGTCAAGATTATTTATTAATATAGCCTATTTATAAATAGGCCTATTTATTTTGGCCTATTCAAGTTTTTCTATTACATTAATATCCGTTTTTATATTTTCATTATATTGTATTTTTTATATTTTTTGACTGTAGCCCCGCCCCCTCCGTCTGTCTGGCCCCGCCCTCTTACTGTGAGCGGAAGCAGCTGGAGTTATAAATATTTCTCCTCCTTTATGCAGAACCCTCCTCTTCCTCCTGACCAGTTGCTGCTCTGATGTGGAACCAGCAATTGGGCCGAGTCGGTTCTTCTTTTCAGCGGGGGATGAAGCCAGATTCTGGGTTTGAGTGGGTCATCCTCCGGGTCCAGTTTGGGTTCTGCTGCCAGGATGAACCTGAGTGAAGATGAAGCAGTGATGATGGCTGTCTCTGCTCCATGGACAGTCCAGATCTGAGTCACTACCAAAACCAGAACCAGGAGAGCCTCCTGTTAAAATCTGTTTATGAGTCAGAATCATAACCGGATCTGAACAGAACCAGTGAGCAGAACCTTGAGGTTGATTAGTAGCTCCTAGGGCAACCTGTTTAATATTTAATATCCAGGTGGGCCATCCAGCCACAGTGGACAGAAGTCTGGGAATTAAATGGCTCAACAGCTTGCCATACAGGGAACACAACAGGAACCAACACTTTGAATCATCATCTCTGATCCAGAACCGGAACCAGAACCAGGTCACATTCAGAAACAAGATCATTCAAAGTTTTTTCTGGTTTCTACAGTTAGAGTTCTGATTCTGATCAGGTTCTGGTTCTGATCAGGTTCTGATTCTGAACAGCTGATCCCTGTTGACACTCACCGTTGCCATGACAACGAGCCACTAATGTGCATCGTCATCTCAGAGAACTTCGTCAGAACCTTTCAGAGGTTCTGGTTCTGACTCGTGTTCCGGGCTGCTTGAATAAGTTTGGCCGGGTCACCTGCTGAGGCGTTTCCATGGCAACGTGCAGCTCTGGTACCAGACCAGCCGGTCCCGGTTCTACAGGCTCTGACCAGGTCCAATCAGGAAACGAATGAGGAAGCAGCAGGAATCCATCAGAACACGGCGATCCCAGAGGCCCAGTCGGGCCGGGCCGGGCAGAACCAGAACAGAACATGAATCACTGTCGGAAACCCGGCCCATTAATACGGCTCGGTTCCATCTGACAGCTCTGCAGCAGAACCGGGCCTACAGAAGGTTCAGATGGATGGCGGCCTGGTTCTGGTTTGGTTTACCTGAACTGCATCAGCTGCTGCTGACCCGGTCATCAGAAAGTTCTGGCTCCATCTGTCCGGACCATGGCAGGGTTCTGTTTCTGAACCGAGAGGTCCCTGCAACCAGGCCGTCCGGACCGACAGCCCACCTGCAGCTGGACAAACACCTCTGACCAATCAGGGACCAGGACGGGGCGTCTGTGTGCGTGCATGTGTGTGTGTGTGTGTGTGCGTGTGTGTGTGCGTGTGTGTGTGCATGTGTGTGTGTGTGTGTGTGTGCGTGCGTGCGTGCGTGTGTGTGTGTGCGTGTGTGTGTGTGTGTGTGTGTGTGTGTGTGTGTGTGATGGAGGCAGCATCTCCTGGGATGATCCTGATCACCTCCATCTGTCAGGTACAGCAGAGGATCATGGGAGTGTGTGATGTCACACTGAGATGTTAATGAAGTCGCTCAGTCTGGTTCCTTGCTGTTCTGGGTCGGAGAGAAGTCCACAGAACCAGAGCTGCTCTGAGTCCGACTGCATTACTGCTGCTACTTCTGTAACCTCTGTGCTGTCAGAGGTCAGAGGTCAGAGATGGTTCACCTACTTTGAAGCCTGAGCTGTCATTCACAGAGGGTCAGTGGTCAAAAGTCAAGGGTCAGTTCATCTGGCCTCATGTCATTAAAACTTGGATATGAGGCCAGAACCACCCAATGGTTCTGGTTCGGATGAAGATTCTGGTTCTGATCTATTTTGGTCCAAACTCTTAAAATATCCTGATAGCCACTGCAGCTAAAAACAGATCAGAGAGTCTAGAAATAGAACTGAGTTGCAGATGTACTGAGAGGAGGGCGGACCGGTTCTGCTCAGAGGCAGCACCGACCCGTTGGGTTCTGCTAAATATCGAAGCAGCTTTGTCCACCAGGGCGTTCATGAACCAAACGGACCAGAAGGTTCTGCTGGGAGACAGAAAATAAACGTTGAATATCAGAAATTTGGAATCCATGTTGAAGCCTGATATTGAATGATATTGATGATATTGAATTCTTACGAAAGCCTCTGTATTTAAAATATTTTTAAAAAGGTAGATATGTGATATCCTACCTTTTGGATATCCTATTAGTATAGGGCGCCGGTGTCCCGCAACTTTTAGATGTGCCTCTGCTGCACCACACCTGAATAGAATAATTAGCTCATTAGCAAGGCTCTGGAGAACTGATCTACACAGGAGGTCATTTAGCCATTTCATTCCTGTGTTTTGTATCTGTGGGACATCAAAAAACTGCAGGACACCTTGAGGACTGGAGTTTGACACCCCTGGTAAAGGGTATCCAGTTGGTAGCACAGTTGCCTTGCAGCCAGAAGGTCCTGGGTTCGATTCCAGGTCTTTCTGCATGGTGGGTTCTCTTTGCATCTCTAGCTTCCCACAGTCTCTAAATTCTCCCTAGATGTGAGTGTGTGTGGTTGTTAGTCCTTTCTGTCTCTGAGTTGTCCTGCGACAGTAAGGGGTTAGGGTTACCACTGCAACAGCAGCAAGGAACTGTCAGGAGTCGTTCATCAGCCGGACGCTGCAGTGAAGCTGTCAGAGGGCCAGAACCAGGACCAGAGTTGGAACAGCTGCAGGAGGGATCAGGTAGCATCCATGACCTGATGATGGACATCCCAGCTGTTTCTGAAGGGAAAAACTTCAGGCCTTCTACTGGTGGAACTGGGCCATCAGACTGGTTTCCTTCACTCGAGGGAAACGCAGCGGCCGGTCCGTCCTTCTGTCTGCCGACCTCATGTTGAGAACCGCTGCTGTTTCTGAAACATTGCAGTCCAAACTGAGACGCGCACGGAGCACACTAGAGTCACAGGAACGCGCAGCTCCAGGGACCAATAATGAAACTAATCACGCAGCACGTCAGAGGTTTCTCCCGGCGCCTGACGCGGGCTGCATGGCGGGCTCCCCCTTCTCCCGATTAGAGGGGACTCTCTGGCTCCGCCCACCGGGTGGAGAGGAGAGCGAGTTTCCGCCTCTCCTCTCCAGCAGCACCTGTGTGACCGCAGATCGAGCCGCTGCGGCTTCTTCTCCAGTTTATCTGCATAGGTTCGGTTCTGTTCGGACTTTCTCCTCTCCCCGCAGGGAACCGCTGCCGAGCCGGACTGGGAGGCTGCAACTCCGGGTCCGGTTCAGGATTCTCCTAAGAACTGGAAGACTTGTTGCAGGAAGAGCTTCCGGTCCGGTCCGGTCCGGATCGAAAGAAGCGGGTCTGACCTGCTGCTTCCCTCTGAAGCTTTTGGCCTCGTAACAGCCAGAAAGTGAGCGGCTGATCTCTGGAGCGTCGCATTCAGCTTTACGCGTTTTACGCACCGACTTTGTGCGTAAAGCTCCGCGCTCCGGCAGACCCGGAGCTCCGAACTCCGCCCGCTGGTTCCCGGTTGTCCGCTTGTTGCCCTGCGTCTGTCTGAACCGCTGCCTAACCCTCAAGAGCCTCCAGAGCTCCGGGTCAGCATGGCTGCGGGAGTAGCAGCCTGGATGCCGTTCGCACGCGCCGCGGCCGTCGGCTGGATGCCAGTGGCCAGTGCGCCCATGCCGGCGCCTCCGCGGGAGAAGCAGCACGGCCGGGTCGGGCTGATCGTGCTGAACGTCAGTGGCACAAAGTTCCAGACGTGGCGGGACACGCTGGAAAGATATCCGGACACCCTGCTGGGCAGCTCGGAGCGGGACTTCTTCTTCCACGAGGAGAGCAACGAGTTCTTCTTCGACCGCGATCCGGACATCTTCCGCCACATCCTGAACTTCTACCGTACCGGAAAGCTGCACTACCCGCGCCAGGAGTGCATCTCCGCCTATGATGAGGAGCTGGCCTTCTTCGGCATCGTCCCGGAGATCATCGGGGACTGCTGCTACGAGGACTATAAGGACCGGCGGCGGGAGAACCAGGAGCGCATCCAGGACGACGAGGAGAGCGAGCAGAGCAGCGACCTGATGCCTGCGGATGCCAGCTTTCGGGAGACCATGTGGCGCGCCTTCGAGAACCCGCACACCTCCACCATGGCGCTGGTCTTCTACTACGTCACCGGCTTCTTCATCGCCGTGTCGGTCATGGCCAACGTGGTGGAGACGGTGCCGTGCGGCGCCGCGCCGAACCGCGTCAAGGTGCTGTCCTGCGGGGAGCGCTACGCGCTGGCCTTCTTCTGCCTGGACA